CTTAAACATAAGACAGGGCACATAAATCTAGAAGAGAACATAGGCAAAACATTCTGACATAAATCGCATCAATTTTGTCCTAGGTCAGTCTACCAAGGCAACAGAAATAGAAGCAAAAACAAACATATGAGGCCTAATTAAACTTAAAAGCTTTTACACAGCAAAGGAAACCGTAAACAAAACGAGAAGACAACCTACAGACTGATAGAAAATATTTGCAAACAATGCCACTGACAAGGGCTTAACTTCCAGAATATATAAATAGCTCATACAACTTAATAACAAAAAACCACAACCCAATCAAAAAACAAGCAGAAGACCTAAACAGACATTTCTCCAATGAAGACATACAGATGGCTCACAGGCACATGAAAAGAAGCTCAATAGAGCTAATTATCAGAAAAATGCAAATCAAAACTACAATAAAGTATCACTTCACACTGATCAGAATGGCCATCATTAAAAAGTCCACAAATGATAAATAATAGAGAAGGTGTGGAGAAAAGGGAATCCTCCTACACTGTTGGTAGGAATGTAATTTGGTATAGCCACTATGGAAAAAAGTATGGAGATTCCTTAAAAAACTAAAAACAGACTTACCATATGATCCAGCAATGCCACTCTTGGCATATATCTGGAGAAAACTCTCACTCGAAAAGATACATGTACCCCTATGTTCACAGCAGCACTATTTACAAAGGCCAAGACACGGAAGCAACCTAAATGTTCATCAACAGATGATATGCATAAAGAAGTTGTGGTACGTACATATGTACGTACACACACACACACACACACACACACACACTGAAATACTACTCAGCCAAAAAAAATGAAAAGATGCCATCTGCGCAATCTGCATGGACTTGGAGATTATCATAGTAAGTGAAGTCAGAAAGAGACAAATATATGATATCATTTATATGTGGAATCTAAAAAAAAAAGACACAAATGAACTTATTTACAAAAACAGACTCACAGACACAGAAAATAAACTTATGGTTACCAAAGGGGAAGGGATAAATTAGGAGTTTGGGATTTGGAGATACAAACTTCTATATATAAAATCGATACTAACAACAAGGTCCCATTGTATATAGCACACAGGGAACTATTTTCAGTATCTTGTAATAACTTATAATGAAAAAGAATATGAAAAAGAATGTATAACTGAATCACTGTGCTATATACCAGGAACATACACAACATTGTAAATCAACTATATGTCAATAAAAAATTTAAAAACAGAATGGATAATGATAAATACTGAAAAACAACAACAAAAAAACAGAACAAAACAAAAAAACCCAGAACATCAAAATGGCTTGCAATGACTAACGGCCCTGAAAGTAAAGGCAAAGAATCTAACAATTCTTAGTTATCTTTTTCTAAGTCTGAAATTTTTCCCAGAAATGAGTTCTCATCACAAAACTTCTTAAAGCCTGTTAAAGGTAACAGGGTTCCACTGTGACAGGCAGAAGGCCAGGAGACTGAAATTGTCACCAACACTGCAAAGCTAGATAGCTATAGCTATGGAAAGTTTAGGGGTTAAAGGTAATGCCTCCAACTCCCTTTAAAAATTTATCAACAAGATGGATTGATGGATGGACAAAGAGTTGGATAGATGATAAATATATAACAAAGCAAACAGAGCAAAATGGTAACAACTTTAGAACCTAAGTGGTGGTTATATGGGCATGAACTGTTCAATTCTTTCAACTTCTCAATGTTTTCAGAAAACATTATGGGAAAAAAAAAGAAAAAAGTTATGGGAAAAAAAGACTTTTTGAAAAGTTGTATTTGCCCAAATGTCCATCAACTGATGAATGGATAAACAAAAGGTGGTATATCCACCCAACAGAGTATTATTCAGACATAAAAAGTAACTAAGTGCTGACACATGCTATAAAACATAGATGAAACCTCAAAAATATGATGCCATGCTGAACTTTGGGCTATATGCCAGCCTGAGTCCTTCCTTAGATGGTATTACCATCAGCATATACTAAAGTTAGTAAGAGTGGAGGTATGGGAAACATGGAAATATTAAGTCCTGGTATATCTTACCAAAGCAGGGCTCTTTTGTGAGTAGCTGAGGGAAGCTAAACAGCTTTAGGAAATTTTAACCTCTGTGTGTACCAGTCACACATTCTCTCCTCCCTTCTCCAATCTCCTTCCCCATAACGGACAAGGACTCCTGAGCCATCAGAGTCTCTGGTGCATATAACAAATTTAGTGTAAATACACTAAATTTGAAGCTATGTGTTTTAGTGCAGGCTCTGCCAAGAGGCAGCATCCAGACATATCACCTACCACTATCTCTGCAAGAAAGGTTTATGTCCAAACTGGATTTCATTAAAAAAAAGGATGGAAGGGAGGGAGGGAGGAAGGAAGGAAGGGAGGGAGGAACTCTAAAAGAGAAAAGAAAAGCCTGGCTGGCCTGAGGAGAATAAAAGATAGCATTCCTGAAAACCTGTATCTAGACCGGAGTTAGGGATTTTAGAAATGCACTGGACTACCTTTGGAAGTATTGAGTTTGATGTCAATAGTCCTCAAGGGGAGCTCAGTCTATTATTTATTTAAAATATTACATGGGATCCAATGAATTGGATATAGAACATACTGAAATGATTCTGTAAGATACTTGTTTCAAAGAAACAATTTAAAACCAATTGTGAAACAAGATATTTTGATAATACTAGAAAATGGAAATATATGAGGTTCTGACTATCCACTTCCTAATATAATTAAGTATGCTTTTCTCTGGTTGGTTCCCAAAGGATAGAGGAATATGAACACCATTCCCTATTTTGACAATAAAAACAGAATGATTTGGCTGTCAAAATGTATGAGAATTCCTGTCAGAAAACTAAATTACCAGATGGTGGTAATGGTTATTATTACCAGGTTGTTTGTTACCTGGTTTCTCTGAATCCCCATAATAAACAGACTAAAATCCCTCACTCCACCCAATTACCATCCAAGTATGGCCATATGCTTAGGATTCTGAAAGAGTAGTTGTGCTTACATCACTAGAATCCAGTAAATATTTTATTTTCTTCCTTTATTCCTTTGATGCATTTAAAAAAATTCTTCATTCATAAACACATGTAATCTGTATATGTTTAAAGAAAAAGAGCACTCAACTTTATAATACTTAAATATGCTATATGTAAGAAAACTCATGGTTAAAAATGCTGAATATGGTAGAAAATAAACTGAAACTTTTACTGCATTACATATACAAGTTACATGAGTTAGGCAGAAGGCAACATTTATTCATTAAAAAATGTTTACTGATTGTCAAGTATGCTTTAATTCTCAGCCTTAATATCTTCAAATACTCTCTTCTACTCTTATCCCAACTCAATTTTATATAGACTAATAGATTCTATCCCAACTCCTTTTTATAGAATTTCAAAGGATTCTGGGGGTCTACAGAAAACACCTGGTAATTACTTGGAATTTAAAGTAACATAACTATCAGAGAAGGATGTGTCTACCCAAATGTCACCAGTGAAAAACTGCTCTCTTATATATAGGCAGAGGAGATTTCTTATTAATTTCTGAAAAAACAAACTACCTACCAAGTGGTTATCCTGCACATAATCATTATTAAACTTGAGTGTAAAAGACAAATTATCTTCCTACAAAGTATCTAACTTCAACAGAACAAATGAAGTGAAAGGTGATTAAAACATAACTTACGAAGGAAGGTCTTTAGCAGCTCTCAAGCCCCAGCCTTTCTTTTCTGTGAGTATGACTTCCACGTCTGCATGCTGTTTTCTCTGAAACCGTCTATTGGAACAATAATCCCCATTTGGACACCGGGAAGAACTGAAATGAAAAATGGAGCAAATTAATTCTTCAAAGCAGCAAAAGAGCAAAAACGTGTTCATTAGAATGTGTTATGTAAATATATCCATATCTTTATGGCATAATCAGCATATGTGCGGTAAACCTCCCAGTGAGCCTTCCTCAATAATTCTTTACATCATGAAGGGATTCCTTAGACTGAGTGTCTACTCTATTACTTGAACAGATCATGCCCACAATACAGCTTTGTCATCTGGTCATCACCCACTCCCTGAATGTCTCAAGATACATTTCCAGGCTGCAGGTTAAGCTTGCAGTACTCTGACAACTTATTTATTTATTTTCCAACAGTGCACCTTCTCTTACATTCCACTCTAGTAATCATTAATTTCACCTTCTGAATGTAGCTAACTACTTGATCTCCATTTAAGGGAAATCAAAGTCATCATTAAACCTATCATTGTTCAGAGTGAATACAATATAAAGTGGCAAGACTCTTCTCCCATGGGTCCTGGAATAAAAATAAAATCAAACATTTACTGAATTCTTAATATTCCAAAGCTGACAGATACAAAGGCTTTTAATATTGAGTAAGGCTACAATAGAAATTACCGATTATTTCCAATACATTATTATTCATACCTAAATCAGCAGTAAGTAATAGTTCTACAAATGCCCGAAGAATAGAGGATTCATTTTGTAGTGAAGCAATAAAGAGCCTTCAGGAGGGAGTAGGATTAAAGCAGAATGTCTGATGACACATAGGATACAGATAGATAAGGAAAACAAGAGATAAAACAACAGTGGCCACCTGTATGCAGAAATAGGAATCAAGGCATACTTGAGGAAAGGGGAATAAAACAGCTAAGGATAGCTGATAAGAAAGGTGGGTTGCTGGAAAATGAAAAGGCAGGTTGTTGATATACTGAAGGGCTCTCAATACCAGGCTACATTTTAACCTAATCCTGAGAATTACTAAAAGTTGGAGCATGGGAATAACATGAAAACAGAAATTCTGTATTGCATATCTGCTCAGCAAGGTTGGCAGGAAAAGCCAGAAGAATGCAGAGACTAGGGCAACAACATGAAATTAGAACAGTGCTGTTATGTTTCCTCTTCTTACATGTTTACATCACCTCTGCTTTCAGTTTACATTAAAAAATACCAAAAATGTTTTCGTTTTCTTTTTTAAGGTACATGGTTTTTTTGTAACACTATAACATAAGCAAAACCAAAACTGAGCTTTAAAAGAAAACATTTCATTAACACTAAAAATAAGGTACCTATACTGTAAACCACCTTAATATTCTTTCCATGAAAATAAGGATACAATTTTCAATCAGATTGGTTAAAAAAACATATTTTTAATGTAAAGATATTTACTGTTTATATGAAAAACACAGAAGCAAATGTCTATCAAGAGAAGATTAATAACTTTGGGTTAACTATGACCAGAATACACCTTGTAGCCAAGAGAAAAGATTCAGGTAGGTCTAAATGTGTAGCTCTGAATAGGTTTCCAAAACATATTCAGTTAAGAGTGTGTGTTGGGGGAGGGTATAGCTCAAGTGGTAGAGCACATGCTTAGCATGCACAAGGTCCTAGGTTCAATCCCTAGTACCTCTTCTAAAAAATAAATAAACATATATACCCTCCTCCCCAAAAGTAAATAAAAATAAAATAACAAAATAAAAGGTGGGGGGTGAGGGGGAACAAAGTTCCAAAAAGTACATATAGTAAAATTTCATTTCTGTTCATAAAAAGAGGAAATGTCCACCTATGCTGGTATAGGCTCATCTGGAAAGATAACAATTAGAGGGACTGAGGTTTAGGAGAGGAAGGCATCTTACTTTAAGTACTTTTGAGATGTCTGGATTTTAGCTCATTCTATAGTAAAAGCTAAAAAGTACCAATATCCATCTCTCAGGACATGAATCTTACAAGAGATAAAAGGAGACTGGATAAAAATTAATATTACTATGTTAGTGTTAGGGCTACTTTACAGAGCACTTACAAAGTGTAACAATGCACAATGCAAAGGAAATCTGTCTCCTTGTAAATGTTATTACACATGAGAGATTTCATTGCTTATAAATACTCACCAACAGGTAGAAGGAGAGAAGTTAAATTTTACTCTTCATTAATAATGCTTTCTAATATTTAGAGACATTTAAAGGCAGAGTATTCTAGTTTACTTACCATTCAATCATGAGGAGACGATTAAGACAATCTTCCCCACATGCTATTTCACCTTGAGCTCTTTCATCTTTAGAAAGAGGTGTACACTCACACTGCATTCGCTTAATATCCCGATGGGATTTATTCTTCTTTCTGTTGGGTAGAAGTTGTATTAAAATTGGTTAAATAAATGCCCTGGCAATGATGTAACATATATTAATCAAATATGTGCTAAATCTCATTAGTTTTACATTTAATAATTCTAGCCAAGTCAATAATTCAAAAGGAAGAAAACATCTAATCACTAACATTTTTGAGACTGAAAACACTATGAACTGTGCTGCAAAATAGGTGAGAGAAACAACCTCAGCCCTAGCAAATGGGAGGATGGGTAAGTTCATGTCTGTCATTTGGATTTAGTCCTTATTTCCTAGTTCTTGTCAGCTAAGCCTCAAATTCTGAGCAATTTCAAGTGTTAATGGTCATATTTGGCTCTGGAGAAAAATAAGAAAACTCGTGAGTATCAAACAGTAACACAGCTGATTAATCAAAGTTTAAGAATCAGTACTCATGGATGTACAAATAATAGTTGAGATAGAAGGCTGAAGAAAAGGAGTTGGTTAAAAAAGTTTTTAATTAAGAATTCAGCTTAATCAAATCTTTTAGAGACTCCTTCAGTAACATCACTTTTGTACAAATCCTGCTTTTAAAAAACTGAATGATTAAAAAAAGAATGATGTATATATTTTCATAGAATACTATTATTACAGAGGGCTAGACTTTCTCAAGGCAGATTTGGGGGGAGAAGGGAAACTTCAAAATTAACTGGGTTCATGAAAATCTATGCCAGACTCTGCAAAGCAAAAGTGAAAATAAGATAATTTACTGGCCTTTCTGTTGAACTCTATTTTTTGATCCTTGGCAAAAAGAAGAAAAAAAATTCAAAGAAGGATAAATAAGATCTCCTCCTTAAGATTATGGAAATATGATTTACTTTCCAACTATCAGACAAGTGAAGATCACAGCTGCTCTAAGCGGCTGTCTTAATCTCCTAACTAATCTGCTTTCACCTTCAACATATGTCCTATCACAGTCCCAGCTTTATAAAGTACCTAAAGAATGTCATGATAGTGTCCACTAAGTTTGAGTAACAAGAATGATTCATCTGAGATTAAGAATATAATTCATTAATGAGTGTAAGAATATGTTGAACGTGAAGAAAAATAACTAAAGATAAGCAAAGTACCTATTGACAAGTACTTAGAAAGCTGTAACTTTGAAGAATCAGCAGTGGCTATATTTTGTATTGCTCCAGAAGGCCAGATCAGTACTAATGGGCAGATTTCTTTCAGGAAGCCTATTTTCATTCGACATAAACATGCTCAGGCTATTTTACAATAATTTGCTTCTTGGTGGCAAACTTGGTGACACTTAAAATGGTGAATATATGTAAATGCTTCCCACTCCAAAAAGGCCCTCTAATGCCTCCCACCAATCAAATCTATTATGTACAGTCTTATATGCATCTGAAACTCACTGCTGAATAAAATCCAGAGGGTTGGGTTGATTAATTTTATTTCTATTCTTTTACAAATATCCTTAAAGTTACACCACTCTACTCACACAGTTCCTAAGGAGTACCACTTAAAATATTCAATATTCTGAATTTAAACCTAATTTACAACTAAATATAAATCAATGTAATTGTAAGAGGCTCTCTTTATCTAGGAAAAACTTCTGACAGGTCTAACTTTAAAATGAAGTTTTTTACCTTAACCACAGTGAAAAATGTCTTCATTTAAAAATTTTTTGAATGCTTAAAGTGATGGCTGGGTTGATTCTCAACCAGAAGAGAAATTTCCAAAAGGTGTTAGGTGGTTAGGTTAAATTTTTTAAGGCATATTTAACATATATTTACACTGGGAAAAACAGAAGATTATCAAAGAGAGGTGAAAGATCAGACTAAGCAGCTCTCCTCTAGAGGAATATGTTTTCATTATACTATTCCCATTATATCTTGTTTCATGTTGGGGATTTGTGGTAAACCATTTCTTCATTTATTTCTTAAAAATCTGTTATGCTATTGTCAAGTTAAATCTATTAGCAACTGATTTAAAAACATGACAAAAGAAAACTAAGTTCTAATCTAGTTCCAGCTTTATAAAGTACCTAAACATATTTTTCAAAAATGTTCAGTATGAAGTAAAGAAAAAAATCCTTAACCAACATTAACTACTTTTCCTTCTCTAAGAGGTTATTTTGCTGGAGAGTTTTGTTTAACTTTCTGTCACAGTTTCATATGTAAAAGAAGTTTAAGAAAAATTGGACTGGTCTAAACTATACTTTTAGAACCAAAGAGGTAATGAGACCAAAAAAAGAATTAGACATTTCCTTCTTAGGGAAAAAAAAAATAAATAAATGGGGGAGGGACTCTATGCCATCAAATCTAAATAGGTATATATACTTGGCAGATTTTTAAATTTACATTTTATCACAATTGTATTTCATACAATTGAACTCATATACTCTGAACTTTTGAAAGCCAATTTTTTTCTCCCACAAAAAGAGGTTAAAACTTGACAAGCACATATTAATTTGGCTTACCTTTCTGTTAAATAAACATTTTCTTCAATCAGATCAAAGTAACAAGGCATCTTCCCTTGCTTGGCACA